ATTATTCACGTTTTTCTGATGTAAATTCTCTTTTGCTAATCACTCAATTGACCATATTTAGTTTTTATAATATCAAAGGTTAGAATATTCTATTCTGTTTAAAAAGTATTGACATGATTTTCTTAAAAAATATATAAACATAGTAGCAAAGTATATACTTCAGTTCAACTCAAACATTGGTTTGAAGTCATTTAAGGTGAGGTACTTTCTACGCTAGAACGATGATGTAGTGATTACACAATCTAAAAGTCAAAGAAGAAATTTCTACAAAGAAAAAATATTTTTTATGTTAAATTAACAACTAATTTATAAAATATACATAGGTGATACACATAGCTATGCAAAGTAATGTATATATCTTCATGAAAATTCCATAATGAGTGACTAACTACAATCATCCTAATTTAAGCATAAATAAATATTATTTTAGTTGCTAATTTGATACGCATAACTATTTTATAAATCTCAAGCAAAAAATAAGAATTGAAATCGTATTTTTTAAAAGCAATAATTTAAATTATTAAGCGCTAAATATTAGTTCATGTGAGAAAGTAAAGTAATATATGGTCTATATACCTATATAGTCAATCAATCAAATGTATTATAATTATGATTACTACAGTTAAAATTATATGGTGGATTCACATTAAATATAATTTATAAAAAATAGTACATTAGAGTTAAAATCTTTTTAACCACTATATAAATTGTCTAAAAAATTTTGCATATATAAATTACACTACTTAGGAACAGTGATGTGTTGTACACTTAACTATGGTCTAATAATCTTAAGAATGACTTACTCTTCAATATCATCATTAATTGACGTATCTATACATTACACAAAAATCATAATGAAAATTTAAAAAACTACAAAAGAAACACCCTCAAAAATTTTAAAAATTATAAAAAACACCCTAAAATTTTGTAATTTACAAATTCACAAAACTATTAAATATTACACTGAAATCAATGAATTATAAAAAATCATTAAAAATTTTCAAACTTTGGAGGGGTAATTTGCAATGTGCTAAACTTTAAGGGTGTTTTTTTGTAAATTTCAAATTTAATAGATTTTCAATCATTTATGTTCTTTTCCAAAACGTTATGTGTAATATTGACTATGAAAGGTTTTTTTCTAAACCTATACTTTTAAAGTGAGTATGATATTTTTTGTAAAATTTTAATTTTCTAGGGGTTGTTGGTAATTTTGTATATTCATTTTAGTGTCTATAGGTTAGAAATTCTCATAGTGTTTTTATAAATTATGAATTTTAGGGGCTTTTTATAATTTTTTAAACTTATAGGCTTTTTCTACAGATTGTAAATAGTTTATAGACTATTTATAATTCCTATGCTTTCAATTTACTAATGAGTTTGAAATTCTCAGGGTGTTATTTGTAAATTTTGAATTTTAAGATTTTGTTTGTAATTTTTGAAACTTCAAGGGTGTTTTCTATAAATTATAAATTATGTAGGGGATATTTATAATTCCTATATTTCCAGTGTACTATTAGGTTAGAAATTATCATAATTTTTGTAAATTTTACAACCTGAGAGTTTTATTTTATAATTTGTAAAAAGTTCAGTGTTTATTGTAAATTCCATAAATTTTCGGGGGTTGTTTGTGTTATTTGTAGTTTTTAGTGTGTTTATAGATTTGAAATTTTTAAGGTGTTTTTTATAAATTTTGAATTTTTAGGGGTGTTTTTATAATTTTTAAAACTTACAAGATATTTTCTCCAAAGTTAAAAAACTTTTAGTTTCTAGCTAGTATATATTTTTCAGATTTCTCACTGAATTGAAATAAGTAAAATTTATAATTTTTAAGATATTTTAATAAAAATTTAAATATGTAGGGGTGATTTTGCAATTTAAAAAACTTAAGAGGATAATTTTTACAAAGTCCAAAATTTTTAAGGTGTTGGCTAGCATATGTTTTTTAAAATATCTAAAGCATTTCCTTGACATTTAACTAAGGAAGCAAAAAAATATTCATCTAATTCAGAAACCTCTAATCCTGAACCAATTCCAGATCCACCAGTTAGTTCAGATACCATTGCATACCTATTAAAACTTACACTTTTACCTCGACTTGTGCTTGAAGCCGAAGGCGCTGAAACTGTAGACCGTTGTGCAGCTATACCATGTCTAGCTGCATACTCATACTATAATGTTTGAAAATAATTTCTAATAGATAAATGATGAGAAGGGTGGAACCATCATCTAAGTCCATAATCTGTCCATCATATAATGACTGTAACAAACTTTGAAGATCAATATCCTTCAAACATGGATCAATAAGAACCCCTAAACCAAAAATATGATGAATATGCCTAAAAAACTTATTAAATTTGCTCTTCATTTGAAAAATTATATTTCCAAAAATATCATCCATACGATATTTGAATTTTTTTTTGAATATTTAAAATTTGTAAAGCAGCTAAAGTAATGGTTGGATAATAACAATCAGATAACAACATAGTAGCATCATAAAAAACTTGTAACATCTTATTTAATTTACATATAATTGTCCATTCATCTTCACTTATTCCATAAGTGGTATCAGAGCTAGAACTAGAAGCATAAAAATTTATAATTTCTTTATATTCTATTGCTACACTTAACATTGCAGATGAGGAATTCCACCTATGATCAACATTTTTTGGAATTAGTCTAGGCTTATAATTTTTTCTTTTACAACATTGTTTCCATCTTTTAATTCTCATTTTAGAAGCATTATGCATATTAGCAACTGTTCTAACATTTTCTATCATGGGTTTAATTTCAAAAAATGTACTTTAAATAATTAAATTTAAAATATGATAGATACATCTAACATGAATAGAGTCACCATGACATGGCAATGACAGAGTTGTTTTAATAAAATCAACAGCTACATTGTTATTACTTACATTATCTAGTGAAAGAGAAAATATTCTTTGATCAATTTTTAGTTTTATAAGTTCTTCAATTATTAAATTTGCAATATTAATACCAGTGTGTGACTCTTCAATTGCAATAAAAGAAATAACTCTTTTAAATATTTGCCAATTTTCATCAATCCAGTGTGCTGTGATACATAAATAACCAGTTTGCACTCTAGATGTCCAAATATCAGAAGTTAAAAAAAATTTACAGTTTAAATTTTTAAAATAAAAAATTATTTTTCCTTGTTCCTCCTGATAATATTTTAAAATATCACGTTGACAGGTTTGACGAGAAAATTTTGTAAATACGGGATAAAAATCATCTCTAAATAAATCTTTAAATTCATCATCTTCTACTAATTTAAAAGGCAGGTTTTTAAGAACAATAAACATGATTAGCATTTCCTAGCTCGGGCAGCGTCATAATTCTAACTACCGAGGGTACCAGAAGAGGAGGATTGAGAAATCATAGACTGTCGGATATCACCTTGAAGATTCTGACCTTTGTTGTGTTTTTCTATATGACGTTTGAGATGGTTGGTGCCGCTCTTATGATGAGCTTGGAAAACCTGACCGCACAACGCACATTTTGCCTTCTGGGAGATGATCCTACCGTGTTCATCCTTGGTGACGTCTATTTTCTTAAAAAAATTCCACACATCGGATCTCGGCCTTTTAGGAGCTCTTGGTGCAATAGATTCGTCGCCACCAGATTCAGGATTAACACCGGTAGGAGGAGGAGTTGTTGTAGGAGGACTCATATCTGGATCGGTAGGAGATAGGTTTTGCTCTTCATAATCAGATACAGAAGCCATTTGATGGAAGTATTAGAAAATATAAGAGATTATAAGATAGTATAAGAGAGTATAAGATTGTATAAGAGAGTATTAGAGAGAAGTAGATGAGTTTTGTTGTGAGAAAATGAAGTGAAACCCCCCCTCTATTTATAGAGGCAGCCCCCTAGGCAAATGACAAAAAAAACCATCATATTCTAGCCGTTTTTTGACTGTTTTAAGGGGCAAATCGGTCAAATGCCGTTTGCCCCCTAGGCAAATGACAAAAAAAACCATCATATTCTAGCCGTTTTTTGACCGTTTTAAGGGGCAAATCGGTCAAATGCCGTTTGGTCGGTGCGGACCAGGCTGGGCCGGCCCGGCCAAAACGGTCAGTTTTCTGACTGTTTTGGCCAAGCCGGGCAACCCGGCCCGACCCGGCATAAACGGTCAGAAATGACCGGGCCCGACCGGGCTGGCCCGGCCAAATTCCGCCAACGGTCACAAATTGTGACCGTTGGCGCCGGGCCGGGCCAGGCCGGCCCGGCCCGGTTTTTTCATCAACGGTCACCCTAGGGTGACCGTTGTTGCTTGGGCCGGGCCCGGACCGGCG